AATTCGATCAAGCTATCAATCCCTTCACGCCCAGTCTGATTGATTTGTTTGATTGCATTTTGAAATGATTGGTGAGTGAGTTGCAGTTTCATCTCGGCCAAAGTTGATCCAAAATTAAATCTGAACTATTCTCGTCCATTTGACGAAATTTGATATTAGACAGCCACATTGCAGTCACTTTGGTTATATTGTCCAAAACTTGAACAATTAGCATTTTTCTGACATAAACTGAGCAAAACTTTTCATTGAAAAAGACTTTTATTTCTTTCCAAACATAAAAATAACAATTGTAGAGATATTAACAGTAATTCGAGCAATAATAATATATATGAACAATTGAAATAACACATAGTATAAAATAAATAACAAGAGAATTAACAGTCAAAATATCACAGATCTGCTTATCAGTAAATTGTGTAACAACACCTAATCGTTTTCACAAAACCAAGTAATTTAATAGGGCGACCGAATGACTCGTCGAGATCTTGTTTGCTATTCTCCGGCTGTCCACGACTTTGATCGGACACGAAAATGGCGTAAGTCTTTTGAGTGATCTTCGTGTAACATTGGTAGGTAAGCTTGAGGATTACATTGAACCTGGATAAGAAAAGAAAATTAAACACGACGTTTTTCAAACATTCTTGACCGATTGCTACTTTTGTGGGAAAATGATAATAAATATTTTTGGTAAAAACGCTGTTTGACAACGAGACATACCTTGTTGTGTTGATAAAATGCTTTGTATCCTCCGTCTAAAAGATAAATTTCGGGAAAGTTAAGCTCTGGATATTTGTGGCTATTTTGTTTGCGATCCATACTTCTGCCTGTTGCTCTCTGTTTCTCTTTGTAAAGATACCAACTCAAGGCTTCTCAATTTAAAGTCAGTTAATACTTACAGCTTAGGTCCTTTGTGTGACGAAAATTCACAGTGGAATATCAAAATATCGTTCTTTGTGGAATGAAGACGACTTTCCATGAAGGTTTGGATTCCTTGCTCAGTGTAGATTTTTATAGCACCTTGAATGTGACCGCCTTGATATTCGTATGGATAACGACAATCAATAATGGTAAAATTTGAAGAACTGTTGAAAAGACTGGACATTGTTGATGAATCTATAGTTGGTAGATCAGTATGCTTCCCAGACATAGTTGGCAAGCTGTGTGTAGAGCTGGCGTCACCGATCAAACCGAGGGCACATTCTTCCATTCGTTCCAGAGCTTTCATGACAAAGTCTTGATTATCTACTGACATTCTTTTCTTTGGAGATGTTGCGAAATCTTCGTCATCGGCAACTGCTTTCCGCTTGCAGGAAATCCACTGTCACTGGAGCCTTCGTTATCATCGAAGAAGCTCAGTTTAGTTGATGGTAAGTACTTTAAAAAAAAGATGGGATGACCTATGAATATCAGACATGTTTATACTGGCGATTACGCTTGGAAGAGAAACACGGAATGAAGACTGGACATGGTTGAAATATCTGAGGATACTCGAATTTCTAACATATTTATGACAGTTTTCTAAACTGAAACTAATTTATTTTTTTGGCAGAGTATTTTCACTTTTTCTAAAACAAAACCCCTCTTGAGAGATCTACTATTATGCAGTTTAAACGTTGGGATGCGGATTACCTGCTATTTTTACCTGATTTTGGATGAGATTTTTTGACTAATGGATATGTGATGTTTGTAAGGATTTTGTAATTGTTTTTTTTTATCTTGCGCGTGTGTTTATGTATTAGTTTCAATTATCATGGCCATCAACTTTAATCATATACGCACCTTTCTCATTTTGTCGAAATCAACATTTTTATCAAAATTTCTTTCATACAGTGAATCCTACTTATGAGACCACTTCTACTAAACAATCACGTTCAATATGCGACCACAATAAAGTCCCTCCTTCAATTTTTCAATATAATTAACAACTGATAAGAGACCACCTTCATTACATGACCAGCGACCATATATTTACACTCCAAATCAGTGAATTAAGCGACCATTACAGTTATCATTATCCCCATTGTATAAACACCACATGGTTTCACATACAGGCGAGATAAAAATTCTCTAATCTCCAAAAAAATAATACATATATTAATTAAATACATTAATCTAAAAAGTAACTGCCAAAGCAAAATAGTTCTGTCTCTACACATCTGTACAAATAGCTATCAGAGACTGGACAGAGTACCTGGAAACCAACGGCATACCACTCACCATATAGAATGTTTTGGCTCCACCCATGGACCCCTGGTATACGATAATGGAACTCGTCTTCCATTTTATAATCAAATCTGTTAGGCTAAGTTTTTATACTCAAAGTTTCTTCACACTTTTGATTATATCCAATCAATTTAACAAGTTTCATTGCAGAAACATCAGAGAACATCTTTCCCCCTTTTGTTGAAAGCTTTTACCCCTCTTATTCCCCCCCCCCCTCTCTTTTCTCACTTTCTTTTCTTTTTTTACAGGTCTTCTAGTTTTCCAACAGTTATTAGATAATCTAACCAAATCAAAGCAAACCAACGACTGTCATTCGACTACCAATCAACAAGAACGAGTTTTGGAAGAATGAAGGAGATCGAGTAACTCACGCCACACCATCCAGGGCCGAGTTTCACCGCCATGTCGTTCGACCCGACCAGATCTAACGAAAAATCAACAACCAAACCAACAACACAGAATCATCCAATTTGAACCAATTCAACTACCAACTACTACGACTACCAACAAATGGGCCCTGTTAAATAGGAATTTTCCACACTTTCAAAAATGCGTTTGTCTAACATAGTATCAATTTACCTTTACGATGACTGTAAATTAATGTTGGGCATGGCCGTAATTTTCGCCTTGTATCACGTGACTTTGTGACCTTTAAACTTTTGGCATGTTTTAAATGGTCGATGCGAAATCAGTTTCTTTAAAAAAAAACTTTGATGGACCGGGAGACGTGACATAAATGGTGTAGGGAGAAAATGATGGTTATAGTTTTAAACAATATTTATTTCTATACAAATTACATAATATGTATAATACAATTCTCCAATACAATGTAGTGAATATGGAGACAAGCAAAAAGCTTATGTCAGTCTATTTCCTCTTCATCGTCGACTTAGCCGAATTGACAGGCCCGTATCCAGACTTGATTGTTCAATGGAACAACCCCTCTGTAGCTATAGGTCTGCAAGTCAATAATAATAATAATATTTATCAAGGTAAGAGGCACAAAAGTGACAAACACAAATAAAGCATGAAGACCTACAAAAATATTACTAAAATAGGATTGTATAGTAACATAGACTAAAACGATCGACGGCTATGAGTAATATAAATAAGAGATTAATTTTATGAAACATCTTCACAATATAAAGCTAATATATATATAAATATAAATCTTAATCTTACACCTTGAATGCAAAAGCCACCTTTCTTGTATCACGAAAGTTTGTAAATGCAGTGATTTGATTGGATGGGACACCAGTAAATGCAGGCAATCAGAGGCCTCGACAAAAAATTTGTAAACACTAAGCCATGAAGTTTTGCAGCTTTTCTGTCGAGGGCTGGCTATGAAGTCAAGGTATGACCCGAAGATCGTTTGACATTGCGAAGATGCTTTTAAATAGACTGACTGTAATACAACACACATGTACATTATTATAAATATTGATTAATGATTAATTATATGTTGTTGAAGTCAGGTGAGAAACAGTGTTAACAACTTTCGCAGTCTAAGTTCAGTCAATCTACTTAAAATTAGATTTCGTTTTTTCTTTCGGTCTCCATTGTAATCTTAAAAGATTTACATCTGTCACGCAGAATCCATATCGATTATGAACTATAAGATAGCGAAACCTAAAGTAGAGCGATATGACTTTCGATATTCTGACGAATTATAAACTTGCTGATACTCGCTTGAAAAAGTGATACTGATTGGCGGTAGAAATTTCATAAACTTCTGACTTACACTGACCTTGGCCGGTGCTATCTCATCACCATCTAACACCAAATTTCATTGAAATCAGAAAAAAAATCTTTATAGCCTCTATTGTATTCATGAACCAATTTTGACTAGTTTTTAATAAGTCAAGGGCAATAAATCAAAAACTGTTCATCGAAAAATCGTCAAATTCGAACTTGACCAAGATCTCATCAATATAAATGATCACACTAAGTTTCATTAAAATCAGATAAAAACTGTAGTCTCTATTTTGTTTAGACAAACAAGACATGTCATCATTCCCTGGTCGTAATGAGCATTCTCACAGGCAGATATTGTCGATATCACAATGTCATCTGTCATAACCTTTCGCGAGAATAATATCAGTTGGTATGGAAAATAATTACACGACTAAATCCCTTTAAAGTTTATCGTCAGTGAAAAATATGTTACATTATACTACACAGTAGTTTCTTATATTTTCAACAAGTTGAAATAGTTATTTTACTACATAGTAGTTACATTATGTGCATTACTTCAGATTTTACATTAGAAAAACATCAGATTAATCATAACGATTGCTTATGACTATAAAGAAATCTTTGATTTCATCCAAAAACATAACATCACGTTTAATAACATCAAAGCCTATTCGTGACGGCGGGAAAATGATATTTGTTGTGCTGATGATAGGTAAAGTATCGGGATAAATGGCTTCTTCAAATAACCCTAATAGTTTATAAATATTTTGCATCATTTTGTGTCTTCGTAATCTCAGTCGTTTCTCTGTAATATCGTTCACAACTATTTCCATCAGATGACAGTATTTATAAAGAAAAGTATAATCGGTTATCAACTGAAAATGATAGCGTTTTATTAAATGTAGACAATCTATATTTGCATCACAAGTCTTTACCAATACATATAATTCAACATCATCAAAATAATAAAATAACATGTTTGCCATCCCAATAAGAAAGAAATTTAACAATGGATAGTTGTATTCGATCGAATAGACAAAATAATAGTTAACATACCTCATCTTTGATGTTAGTAGAGTTACTCCTCTCATCTATTTTTAAAACATGAATTGTCTCTTGTGATCGGAGATAACGAAGATAGATACTGTCAACAAATCGATGTCTTAACTGAAACAGAAACTATAATTCTAGGATTGTTTTGAAATACTACCGCCCAATCTCAATTTATGATTTATCATTATAGATTATTCAAAGAAGGAATGTATGCGTTTAGGTATGAAGAACAAAGCAAGTTTTGTTCATAAAAAGTTAAGGGATGAAATATCGAAAAAAGAAAACCCAAACAAGAAATTTCACTTTTTATTTATTTCGTTCACAAGCTATAGGTTTTCTTCGGGGCATCCGAAAGTTGGACATCTTGTTAATATGACACCCAGACATCTTTCGTCGCAGCCGTGCGTAGACCACGTTGGACAGGATGATTGGGTCTACAGATCTTCAAAATCTTAGAAAATCGACTCGTCTTTTTAACAAACAAGGATAATTGTGGATACACATGGGCCCAAATTTCGACCGTAAGATGTGAATACTATAGCCGATTAGCTTAGCTGAAAAATTCCCATCTCTGAGACGATTGATCCCCGAAAATGCCGAATCTGTCAACCAATGTGTATGAAATGTCAATGACGGTAGGCCCTATGTGTATTTAATTACACATCCATCTTTACGTTTTTCTTAAACAGAAAGATGCACTATTTTAGGGAGTTGATTTGGGTCTTGAATATATATAAATGGTCTTCAATAGTACTAGAAATGTACGAAAATCGAAATAAAAAATCTCAAACTAGGACTTTCTTTTCCCACTACTATAGATGTCTTTTCTATATGGTAGTGTCCCAAGAAAAAACTTGTCCTTTTAACTTTCAAACGCGGATAAATCTTGACACACATGATTTGAAGACTAAAATTTCGACCAAAAAAAATCTGTTTCTGAGACTAAAGCATGATTGGTCAAAAAAATCTGTCCCTATAAATTACTGATGAACCAGACATAGATATTCCATTGTTAAAAATATCAAGGAACAGCTACACTTGAACTATGTCACCTTTTAGACGACTTAATGCTTTTAACACCACAATCTATATCATATATAGTTCACTCTCAGCAAACTATGAAACCCATAAAAGTAAATATTACTTACATAAAGTGAATGAAAGTGTCGAGTGTCGTGTATGAGATCCATTGCCAAATGTTTGATTGATGATAAAGTATCATCAAAATATAAACTGAAACCATTTAACGATGCTGGCATAACACATATACCTATCAATCCTGGAGAAACATAAAAAACCTGATTAGTTTACTCTCTCTCCCTCACTAAACCAATTCAAATATCAGAATAGGTATGGGACATTCCAAAATAAAAGATTTTACAAGACATTAACCGATGTTGCTAATTTAAAGAAGATTCACATGTTAGATTTGATAGAAAAAGAATCAGTTCACGGTAAAGATTCTGCAAAATAAAGGGAAGCTTCATATTTAGACACTTTCCTTTAAAAAATTGATATTAATTTACCGAAAATTATGAACTTCTTCATCCTGATTATTTCGAAATGGAACGCAAACTGTGATTCTGGAGAACATTATGTTGTAAGCAGATTTTTATAATAAATCTTTGATTAAGGAAGTGATTAATATTCTAAAATTATTATAGGTGTTTCCCAGTATATGGAATTACCATTCCTATATCACATTTAAAAAAAAAATAACAATTGCAACTTATCATATAAGCGATATTGATTTAACACGCGTGGAAGCGCGGAATTCATTCTACCAAGGTAATTATTATATTCCAGTCAACCAATTTTCACACGACAGTCTTTCGAAATATCAACGGACCTCGAAGTCCATCAGTTTCAAAAACGTTCCAACGATCCTATCTTAACATTGCATTTTGTTTATGAACTCTCTTGCGATCAACTGGGGGATCAGGACTTACGCTTTGGTACTAATTGCAATAAGTAGATTGAACTATACTTTCAAAATAGTATCAATTAAACCGATAAAATCATATTTATTAATGATTAGTTGAGAATATAGTGATTAGGGTGGTTGAAAGGTAAAAAGATACTATCCAACAGGGGTGGCACAGGGGTGATAATATAGTGACGCAGACTGGGAAGTGAGGTATCATAAAAGATTGAGACTAGTACTAAATAGTGATAGATTGAGACTAGTACTAAGTAATGATAGATTGAGACTAGTAAGATACAATAATAGATTGAGACTAGTACTAAATAGTGATAGATTGAGACTAGTAAGATACAATAATAGATTGACAAAATAGTGATAGATTGAGACTAGTAAGATACAATAATAGATTGAGACTAGTACTAAATAGTGATAGATTGAGACTGGTATGATATAATGATAGATTGAGACTAGTAAGGTACAATAATAGATTGAGACTAGTACTAAATAGTGATAGATTGAGACTAGTACTAAATAGTGATAGATTGAGACTAGTACTAAATAGTGATAGATTGAGACTAGTACTAAGTAGTGATAGATTGAGACTAGTACTAAGTAGTTATAGATTGAGACTAGTATGATATAATGATAGACTGAGACTAGTACTAAGTAGTGATAGATTGAGACTAGTACTAAATAGTGATAGATTGAGACTAGTACTAAATAGTGATAGATTGAGACTAGTGCTAAGTAGTGATAGATTGAGACTAGTATGATATAATGATAGACTGAGACTAGTAAGATACAATAATAGATTGAGACTAGTACTAAATAGTGATAGATTGAGACTAGTACTAAGTAGTGATAGATTGAGACTAGTATGATATAATAATAGATTGAGACTAGTACTTAACAGTGATAGATTGAGGACTAGTACTAAGTAGTGATAGATTGAGACTAGTATGATATAATAATAGATTGAGACTAGTACTAAATAGTGATAGATTGAGACTAGTACTAAGTAGTGATAGATTGAGACTAGTATGATATAATAATAGATTGAGACTAGTACTAAATAGTGATAGATTGAGACTAGTACTAAGTAGTGATAGATTGAGACTAGTATGATATAATAATAGATTGAGACTAGTACTAAATAGTGATAGATTGAGACTAGTACT